ATCACTACCAGTTATGACAATGTCATCTACATACACAATAAGATAAATACACCCTTGGGGTGAGTGACGATAAAAAACAGAATGGTCAGCTTCACTACGGATCATACCAAACTGTTGTACTACAGTGCTAAATTTGCCAAACCAAGCTCTCGAAGATTGCTTAAGACCATAAAGAGACATGTGTAGCCTACAAACCATATTCGATGACTCCCCCTGAGCAACAAACCCAGGTGGTTGCTCCATATATACTTCCTCTTCAAGATCGCCATGTAAGAATGCATTTTTGATGTCAAGTTGATGAAGAGACCAATGTCGAATGGCTGCAATGGCTAGAAGAAGTCTAACAGATGCCATCTTGGCTACAGGTGAAAAGGTATCACCATAATCCAACCCAAAAATTTGAGTGTATCCTTTGGCTACTAAGCGAGCTTTAAATCGATCAATCTTGCCATCTGGACCAACCTTCACTGTATAAAGCCAACGACAACCTACTAAAGATTTTCCATGGGGTAGAGGAACCAGTTCCCAGGTACCACTGCTTTGAAGAGCACACATTTCATCAATCATTGCTTGCCTCCACTCAGGGTGAGATAATGCTTCACCTGGAGTTTTAGGAATAGAAACAGAAGACAAAGAAGACAAACAAGTATACTGCAAAGGGGAAAGACGATGATAACATAAATCAATATAATGTGGAGAAGGATTTCGTGTTTGACGTATACCTTTTCGAAGGGCAATCGGAAGATCAGACTCAGGTTGCAGGATCGAATCCGGTGATGGCGAGAGCGTCGGAGGAGAGTCCGTAGTGACCTCAGGGACAGGTACAACTTCAGGGACAGGTACGACTACAGGGACAGGTACAACTTCAGGGACAGGTACGACAGACTTTGGGTGACGACGCTGATATGTTTGAAGTGGGCGAGTGGGGGGGTCAACCGTAGGGGTAACTAGTGGGTCAGGTTCCCTAGAATGATGGGGGATAATGACAGATGGGACTTCCGGAAGAGGTGCGGGAATACTTTCCCGTAGAGGTTCTGTAGTTACTTGGCTGGATTCGAAATATGGAACAGACTCGAAGAAGGTAACATCGGCGGATACGAGGTATCGTTGTAGAGTATGTGAGTAGCAACGATAACCTTTTTGGGATCGATGATAGCCAAGAAAGACACACTTTAGTGATCGAGCTGATAGTTTATCAAGACCAGGGGAGAGATTGTGTACAAAACACGTTGACCCGAAGACTCGAGGAGGAATTGGGTGGAGTGGAGAGTTTGGAAACAGGATTGAATGAGGGATTTTATTATTAAGGACAGATGAGGGCATGCGATTTATGAGGTAACATGCTGTGAGCACCGCATCTCCCCAAAACCGGAGAGGAACATTACCATGGAGAAGTAGTGTCTGAGTGGTTTCTACGAGGTGTCGATTTTTGCGTTCGGCTACCCCGTTTTGTTGGGGTGTATGAGGGCAAGATGTTTGGTGCAAAATACCATTGGATGATATAAATGTTTGAAATTGTTGGGATAAATATTCACGTGCATTGTCACTTCTTAGGGTACGAATAGATAAACCAAATTGGGTTCTTATTTCTCGATAAAATTGTTCAAAAATAGAAAACAATTCAGACCTGTTCTTCATTAAAAATAACCATGTGCAACGTGAAAAATCATCAATAAAGGTTACAAAATACCTAGACTCAAAAGTAGACACGGTACGTGAGGGACCCCAAACATCGGAGTGGACTAAAGCAAAAGGGGACGCAGCCCGTTTATTGACTCGATCGGAAAAGTGACTACGAGTATGTTTCCCTAACTGACAAGACTCACAATGTAAAGTGGATAATTTAGATAAACTGGGCACCAACTTTTGTAGCTTGGGAAGACCTGGATGACCTAACTGCGCATGTATAATGAGTGGAGAATCTGTGGTGGAGCATGTGGTAGATGACGTAGAGAAGTAGTAGAGGCCTTGAGACTCACATCCGACGCCAATCGTCTGTCCCGAACTCCGATCCTGCAGAGTAACATTACTATTAGTAAAGGTGATAGAACAATTAAGGGAACGAGTTAAACGACTGACTGACAGTAAATTAAATGGGCAATTAGGCACATAAAGGACAGAAGTAACAGAGAGAGACGGTAAAATTTGAACAGTACCAATCCCTTGGGATCGGGTTTGAGAACCATTTGCTGCAGTTATAATAGGCAAGAAACCAGAGGTAGAGAGGAAGGAAAAAAGACCTTTATTACCAGTAACATGATCAGACGCACCAGAGTCAAGGACCCAAGGACCAAGAGGAGATGATTGAGATAAGCAAACAGATGAATTACCAATGTGTGCAACCGAAGCAGTGGAACCAGAGATCTGATTAGTCTGACACCATCTGAGAAAATCTTCGTAGCTTGGCGTAGGGTTCTGAATAGAAGGTGAAGTCTGCATAGTTTCTGAGTTATCACTTTGAGCTGCATTTACCTGGCGTGGGGGTTTGCCATGTAGCTTCCAACAACGGTCGATAGTATGTCCAAGCCGGTTATAATGGTTACACTTGGGACGAGGTTTGGAGTTGGATGACCCTCCTCGAGGACGACTCCGATTGTTGCCCAGAGATGTGAGGGCAGCAGTGTCACCTGGTGTAGCAACAGTAGATGGAGGGGAAACCGGACCAAACGCATGAGGTGTAGCCAAGCGCAACAGTTGTTCACTAACTGCATCATAGTTAGGAACAGTAGTACCTGATAAAATCTGGTTACGAACGGAGTCGAGTTCGGATGGTAGTCCTTTAAGTGCCATCACCATGAAAAATTTACTCTGTTGTTCGGCATGAGCTGTTGCGTCTTTTGCGTACGGCATGAGGGTTGCGTAACTTGCTTTTAAAGCATCAAGGTTACTCATATAGGTTTGCATATCCATATTTTCCATCTTTAGTGTGTCAAGTTTGAGGATGACACTATATAGACAATGAACGTCGTTGGAGAAGACTTTCTTGGCCTTTTCCCAAACTTCATAGCAAGTGGAGAAGGCTTGATACTGTGCTTGGAGGTTAGGTGCTATGGAGAACCATAACACGGTAAGGAGAGATGCATCTGTTTTCTTCCATTTAGCAAGTTTGTCGGAGGCAACATTAGTCAATTGTGTGGTTAGGTGATCTTCATATCCCTGACCACGAAATCACATATCGACAGCACGCGCCCATATGTTATAGTTTGCTGATCCGGTCAATTTTTCACATGGGATAAGAGGAACTTTAGTAAACGAGTCTCCCATAGCTTAATGACACAAACAATCGGGGTTGTTTGCACTGGAGCACCGTTTTCCGTGAGTCGGAAAGTAAAACAGAGGTCGGATCTGGAATGGGTGAGGAGAGGTGAGTAGATCAGGGCTGGGCAGCAGCGGGAGTCGGAAAGTAAAACAGAGGCCGGATCTGGAATGGGTGAGGAGAGGTGAGTAGATCAGGGTTGGGGCAGCAGCGGAAAAAAGGGGCTCTGGGGCAGCAGCGGGAAACGGATCGGGAAAATCGGTAACGGCAAGGCGGGAAAAAGGGGCTCTGGGGCAGCAACGGGAAACGGATCGGGAAAATCGGTAACGGCAAGGCGGTTACAGGCGAATTTTGAAAAGTGAGAGGCAAACCGGAGTGACAACACAGTTTGCCAAAAAAAAAAATTTTCTCACCGGGTAAAATACGGCGAAGAAAGAATTGTCTCTTATTAATAGGCTCTGATACCATGTTGAAATACAAGAGACTAAGAGACATGAATAAACCATGTGTTTTGAAAAGCACTACGGAGACATTATTATATATAAATAGATTACACCTAATTACATAATATAGTCGATGTGGGACTATTCTATATACAAATATTCTTAACACTTTATATATATATTTACAAATATCAACATATACAACATCTCATAATAAGATACTGTGATTATCAACACACAAAAAAATCACTTAAGAAAAGTTTGTATTAAAAGCAGTTAACATGTTAGCATTACACTATAAACAATATTGTTTATTCAATTTGTTTCAAAATAAGTGTCTTTAACTTAAAAAATGTTCTAAAATAATTTGTACTAGTACTAATTTTACTCCTAATTAATATTTTTGCCACACTGTCAAGACATTAAATCTCACTCAATTAATATTTTTGCCACACTGTCAAGACATTAAATCTCACTCACATTTATGGCAGTGTATGCGTAACCAATTAAAGACAATTTTATAAAATTATTACATTTATTCTTTTAGTCATTATTTTTCTTAATCTTTGCAAAAGACTTTTATTTTGAGTAAAGTTGATTAAAATTTATTAATATTGTGTTTCCAAAAACTCTCAACATTGATAGAGGGAGTTCAATTTCTCAATGGATTTTCAAGTGCAACATTGATGCCTCCTTTTCAAATTCACCCAACATGGTGGGTATTGGGTATGCATCACGGATGAGCAGGACAATTTGTCCTGTCCGGAGTTGTGTGGTTCTCCTCCATCCACAATGTGAACACATGGGAAGTTTAAGGACTCTCAACCGTTATTGGAGAAATGAATTTGAATTGGATATATACCATTGATTTACTTTAAAATAAAGAAGATTAAAAGATTGTTATCTATCAACTTTAGAAACTCTAATGTTTGAGTTAGCTAACACACAAAATCAACAAGGTTGTTCATACTTTTGCAAAGGTGGCTCTATCGGTACTCATTTCCAATTTTAATTGATATGCAAACATATAACATAGTATCATGAATGAAATTACTTGTGTTGTATATATAGACTATGAAACAATCCATCGAATAAAGAACTTCATTGTAATTCAACCACTTACTCTATAGCATTTGGTACAAGCGCCATCGCTAGAGTCATTGTTACATTTTCTACAAAATCGGATTTGGATATGATGCTTTCTCAATCTTCTTTCTTCATATAGACATACCAATTCTTTGGCAGAGGTTTGATACAGATGTTACAAGATTGCTGTGATGATGACCTACCTAAATACTCTTCTACTCCAACTCCTTAAGAAAATCAATATTATCTACAAAAACCTGAACATCATAGGTGGGAAAAACTAGTTAGTCACAAAATGCTTCAATACTAAAAATGAACAACATAACAAGCTAGATCTTCAGCAGTTTTTTGAAGATAACTTTGATAGACAATAACTTTGAAAGACAATATTAACTTTAAATCAATATTAGCTAAAAATGAACTCCATGTCACAGTTTTTTGAAAGACAACTTTGATCTTCTTTGAGCATTAGAGTTAGGTTTGGAATTATTCATTAAATTTTGTGATGGTGTTAGTATAAAGGGAAGAGCAGCATATAGAAAAGCCAGCTATTTAAACAATTGTGTTAGTTAAAAAGTTAGAAGAGGTATTATGTATAAATAGGAAAATGAGAATAGATTAAGGCATTCTGTACATTTTATAGTTGTATTTGAAAGGAAAAACGATGAAGGAAGAGACGGTGACAGAGCTAGAACTTCCTTCTTAGGGTTCCGCCAATTCTGAGATCAAATTTGAAATTTGTGACTCTTGGAACTACAGTTACTGAGATTATGAAGCAGGTTGATAGAATTGAATGAATTGTTTGAGAGTCAAGGAACTGATATCAGAAAGAAGAGACAGAAACACATAGGTGGCCATCACAATCAATCATGCAGCAAAGAGAACATATGAAAGGATGTTTGGAATATAGCAAGTCTCACTCTTAGGTGAAGTAAAAGGAGTTGTCTGATTTTAATGGAAGACGTATATTGAGTTGGATGCCAAAGAAAACAAGAGCAGAGAAAACCAAACAGGAGAAGGTGTCCCATTAAAAAAATTCATTAACAGCTTGGATAAAGAAAAATAACTATAGAACAAATACAATGATGGAGAGACAGTCAAGGAGAGAACTAGAACTGTAGCAGAGCTTACAGGTAGAACCATCGTGGAGCAAAGGGAGCTAGCCAAAAAACAGATAAGGGTAAAACCAGTATTCTGCAAAATGGGTATGACCGAATATATGTACGTAGAAGGCTTGTAAAGATTTCCTCAACAAGCCTCGTCAGACTATTAATGTCAAGCTGCTTGCTTAATTACACTAGGAGCGTGGACAAATACTCGTGACCTAAGAGCAGAACTAAAATAGATTCTGACACCATCTTAGAATTTGGACTTTAGGCTTAAGTCAATCTCAAAAGCTAACTCAAAAGACGAGGATTGCTCAAGTCGATGTACAATTTCAACAGAGAGCAACAGGGGTTGATGTTTAGACCACCTGATCATAAAGAGATTGATATTATGTTGTGAGTTAACCATCCCATGTGCTTGAAGTGTTTGGTGAAGACATATGAATGATTTTATGATTATAACTAATAAAAGTATCAAACCCTGTTTAAACTTTCAAATCTGTAGAGCACATTCTTTTAAATAAAGTTAAATTTCCACACACGTAAAATTGGCCCTGCTGTGTAAAGAACAATGAGGCTTTTAAGAATATAAAAGTTTATTCACACATTTTCACCAAATAAATCATTTTAGGAGTTTCTTTAATACGGTATAAGAAACTCTATGGCCAAACAGGTAACAGTTTTATTCTTGTTATACTCATTCTGTTATATAAAAGTTAAATTTCAACCGATGTACAAATTAGTTCACATTATACACGCTTCAACCCCCAACAAGCTCTTGCATGTGGTGATGCGTTAGATATAAAACCATTCCCAAAACTTTCACTTTCCAGCTCAAACCTTTGGGTGAATTGGTCATCGAAATACTAAATCATAAGTTCGAAGAGACATACCGTCTTCCATCCATCGGGATCCAAGCATGCAGTAATTTTTGTGTTGATACCAGGCAATGGTCCAGGTTCCCGAGTAACCTTTCCAGTGGATAGTTTAATCGCTTCTGCAGTTTTGTACACATCATCTGTACCTATTGCAATCTGTAAAGTGGGGAAATGAAATATAATTAATGAAAGAAACCATCTTCAAGTTAGAGGCCAGAAACAACCGACAATAAAAAAACAGGGTAAAAAAGTGTTCCAATTATTATTTTAAAAACGGAAATTATAGTAGTTTCTGTTTGTACGAAAATAAAAAGTTTCATATCATAACCGCATCAATGAAAACCTCTTCAGAAGATTTCATTAAAAAAAAACAAGAGAAAAGAAGGATTTCCGCTTACCTGAGCATAAGCATTTCCTTTATCATATTCAGTGACTCCATAATTGTATGTCAACTCTAGAACAGTAGTTTTATCTTCTGGACCATAACCCAGCATTGCTATGGTATACTGCACGAGAAAAGGCCATAAAAGGATCACATGTGAAAGAAGGTATGCCCAACGTGTCAAATGTCGGAAAACAATTTTTAGTCCATCAAAGCAAGCAAGATGAAGCCTAAGACTTACAGAGATATTTAGTGTACTAATACCTCAAAACAAGCATACATCAAAATAAAATGCGAGCAAAAGGCAGATGACAGTGAAAAATACATTTAAAAAGATGAACCATAATACCTTGTTCTCTGGATTATCTCGTGTTCGAAGCAGCTCCATACCAAAAGCCTAAATGGAAGACAACCACATAATTGTTTTAATGCTGTGTAAGGGAATTAAAAACTCTGAAGTTTGATCTGACTTAAAATAGGATTGACCCTGACCTTCTCATAAAACTCGATTGAACGGTTAAGATCACCCACTCGAAGCATCACTTGGCACAAGGGCTCAGGAGTGGGGCCTCTTTCCAAAAGTTCAAATTTGTAACCATCAGGATCCTCAATAAATGCAATTACTGTTTTGCCTCCTTTGACAGGACCAGGTTCTCTAGATATTTTGCCCCCCTTAGCTCTTATTAGTTCGACTGTTTTTGTAATCTAATTAAGAATCGTATAGACAAAAAAATTTCAGCATGTGTTTGTCAAAAGGCCAATAGAGAAAATCCAAAATAATAACCAAATCTGCACTTCCATGCCACGTGAGATTGAGGATCAAGCCACCAAGTCGTGAGGAATGAACACAGTATGAGAGGCCAAGATGTAAATGACTGATACTGGTGGTACTAAAGTTTAGAAAACTTACATCATCAACAGCAATACCAAAATGGCCAAATCCAGTTCCAATATCATACTTCTCAACTCCATAATCTGAAATATTGTTAAATGACAAATAAATACTCCTATTAATTAAAGCTTTCTTGCACAAGCATGTACAACCTACTTCATAAAGTCTAAACTCCCATAATTCCTAGTTTGGATTAGCTTTTAGCTTGCAGGGCCTTCTCAATTCAAATTAGTTTATGGTTCTTCACTAAAGACAATTGAGATGTAAAAGCTAATTTCAACTTAATCAAGAAGTCATTATTTAAAGAACTACAAGTTATAGTGTAGACCTATTTGGATTAGCTTATTTGATCTTATCTACTGATATAAGTGCTTGCAAGACTGTATGGGAGATTAGGATTAGAATTAATAAGTAATTCCAATTAGTATAATTAGTATTTACCTATGCTACTATAAAATTATAAATAAAGGAAAACATAGTATGATCTAGACACACAGGATCACAAATTTAACATCATCAATTGGAAACAACTTATAACATGTTTTCACCTTATTTCTATAAAAGCTTTTCATAACAACTTATGAAAGCACCTTATATCAAGATTATACAAAAAGAGCAAACAAACGGGCAACAAGTTGCGCCGCTATAATGCATGGAAAATGAGTCTTACTGTAGGTGAGTTCAATAACAAAGTGTGAGTCCTCAGGTCCATATCCAAGAAAAGCATTAGTATATTTCTCCTCCGGTATGTCACGTTTTCTAAGGAGCTTCATTCCCAGGCACTCAGTATAGAATCTGAAATCAGCAAGAATAGAATAAACAAAATATGCAGAAATTTTATTGAATTTACATTAGAATAGCAATAAATTGAAGTATATATAATATACTTAATGGTTCTATCCAAGTCGCCAACACGATAAACAACATGAAGCATTCTTCTTTTATCTTGTTTGACCCATTCCAGTACGTTTTCTGGTGAAGAAGCAGTGAGTGACGAAGACACGTTGACGTTCCCAGATGCCATAAGTCTAACGGAGTTTCCATTTTTTCTAAACATTCTACACGCTTTCAAGCCAAAGCTCTTGGATTGTGGAACTACTGCAGAAAACAAATTTAGTTGAGAAATCAAAACTAGGTTTATAGAATTCATAAATTTAATCATGAATCGAAGTTTCAAATTAGTTGATAATTTGGGGTTAAATGTAATAGAGAAGTTACCGGTTGAAAAATGGGAGAAAGAGAGACGAGGAGAGCGATTGAAGAGAGAAAGAGTAGGTCGAATTGAAGAAGCCATGGGAATGATGATTGTGGTGTTGTGGATGATGATGATGGAGAATCGATGAGGAACACAAGAAAAGAATGGAATGGAATAAAAATGAAAGATGCTCAAACAGGGCTTTACAATGTCTGCTTTCAACTCAGAGCATATCTCCAATCCAACCGTTCACTTGTTTTATTTATTTTTTTCAATAATTGCCTTTAGTCTCTTCTTTCATACCTCTTTTCACCACTCAAATTTTCACTTCAATGACACTAGTAAACTTAGTTTAAATTTAAATTAAATTATTTTTTTTTAAGACAAGTCGGTATATATTTATATTTTTAAAGCTTAGGAAAATTGAATTTCATAACTCATCCCAGTCAAATATAAGTTTTAATACCAGTAAATATTTGATTTTGATGCATTTTTTTATTTTTTCATTTTAAAAAATAGTTTTTTCATAATTTTATTTCTTTTTGGATGACTATACGTATATACATTAATTATTATTTTTTAAATTTTTTTACTGAATAAATTATTAAGTTTTTTTATAATTAATTAATTATAATTCTTTAAAACAAATATTTTGTACTCATGGTCCAAATATCCATGATGGCATTAAGTGATGCATAAAAGAGCTATATAAACATTTGTCATATTTTATCAAAAAAACAATATGAGACTTGTTTAGATGTATTCTCACTTCATTCAAAACTCTGCAGCTACTCCTTTCTGCAATTTATTATCACTTCATTATGATAAAAAATGCAACATGCAACATGCTCAATTTATTCTTCAAACACTCTTTCATAATGAGCTTTCAGTTTTAAGGTATTCCTTGAATAACAAAGAATAAACTTGTGCATATATAAAGAGCCTTCAAACTACCTCCGAGAGCTGGAATTTCCAATTAATGTTTGGCTTCGATACTTTGTCACCATATTATTGATATAACCTAAAATGAAAATTTATTTTCACACATTTGTATAGTAAGAACATCATCACACACAATCATCAAAATTGCATGAAAGTATGCAAGTAAATCATTTGAGTCTGAAAGAGAAATGAGGGGATGTGAAAGGGGAAGTAAACTACTTGTCATTAGGGTTGGCGAAACGAGTCAGACTCGTTGGGCATATGTTTGATTTACCCGCACTTTACTACGGGGTGAACTAAGAGTTTAGGCTTTCATCCTCTAATGTGTTCTTCATGCCGCACTCCTTTTTTCTCATGGACTTTTGCGAGCGCGGACATTTACATAAATTAATGCATTTTTAGGATTAAAAGCTACAGTGCGCATAAACTTTCCCTGCCTCACCCTCACTTTTTACAAGGCGGGTCTAAGTTTTAGGCTTGTATCCTTAACTATGTCTGTCACGCGCTGCCCTGGTTTTTTGCAGACTTTTGTGGGACGAGCATTCCCCCGCTTGCCACCTTTACTTGTCACCATAGTATTATACACTTAAATTGTGCACCTATTTATGAAATGTCGATTTGATGATCACAACTGTTATATCTTCCAGGATTTGTTAATTTCCTATTTTTATTGCATATGGAATGCCATTGTTTGTTGATTTTTATCATAAGATTCTCTATCTAAATAATTACATGTAGCAAACAAGCTATGGAGCCTTTCAATTTCTTAAATTGTAAATTGTGAAATTGTAGTTCTTTCAACTTTTTTCTTTACAAATTAAGCATAGAACTAACGACTTTAAAAAGAACCATATGTTGATGAATATACAAGACAAAGTGACACCTCCACCCAAAATAAAAGAGATCCATCAAATTGGGAATCAAGGAAATAGAAATGCTTACCTCTAAATGGTATTCTTGAATTAATTTAGTGTTCAGAAGTAGAAGACACGTGAGGGGTGGCGTTTTTGTAGTTGATGGTCTAAACCACCATCAAAATCAATTGGTCCAAATATGTGTTTTATTGGACCTATGAATTTGGGTTGGTTTGTGATATGTTCTTATTTGCATTGCAACTAATAAGGAATTTATATTGTTTATTGAAAATGATGCAAATGTTACTTTTAAACAAGTCCCACATTTTTTTTTCAAATTTTATAAGAGTTTATAAGATTAAACATATATGAGCTATTGTTTGAGTGGAATAGAGTGACAATGGGCTTAGAGTATCAGACTATTGTTGTAGCTAATGGATTTTTGGCTCAGAAATTTTTTTTCAATAATTTTCATATTTAAATTTCTAATATTACATTAAAATAAAATTTAAAAAGTTATTAAAAATTTATAAAATAAAAAATAATTAATTTTAATTAAAAATAGGCTTGATACATCTTTTGGTCTCTTAACTTAGTTTAAGGTTTTACTTTAGTCCCGTACTTAATAAATGTTACGTATTGGTCCCTTAACAACACTTTGGTTAGCCAACTTAATCCTTTCTGTTAAATGTTGGTGGAAAAACGTTAACTTTGACCTATGCGGCAGTCTAGTTGGTATTTTGTTATCTGACGTGGTTTTATTTATTTATTTTGAATTTATTATTAATTAAAATCAAACAATTAACCACCCTGAACCCTGTTTCAGTTGTAATCAAATCACTTCTCTCTAGAGAACAACAAAGCCCTCTTTACATCTTTCTTCAAACCGACTTTGTTCTAGAAACATCTTGTAGAGAATCCATTAAATGGATTCTTAAAGACAATTTTTGTCTCTCACTTGCTGCTAAAATTGAAGAGATCTAAGTTTCTCTTTTATTAGATCTTCAAGTATATTTCATCTTATCTCTTATTAGAAACAAAAAGCACAAAACTTGTTTCTGATTTTTGCACTTTCATTATGTATAGGTTGAAAAGATGATGAAAAGGAGGAAATCAAACTTGAAACACAAGTAGTTGGAGGGAAAAAAGGTGAAGAAGATAACGCCAAAGCCTAGAAGATCAAATACCCAGATTTTGTTTGCAACTCAGTTCACTTTTGTTGGTTTTGAAGGAGGTACCATCTTCTCTACTATTCTTTATTAGGGTTTATCATTTTTGATGCTTTATTAGGGTTTTGATGTCAATCTTCTATTTCAGATTTAGGGATTTCAATTAAAGTTTTTTTTTTTGTTTTGTTTAAGTTACGGTTCACTGAAAAATAAAGAATGGCAGAAATAGAGGAAGAAAATATAGTGAAGAAGTATTTACAATTCTAAATCTTACTGAAAGGTTAATTAATGATACTACAATTGTATATCTTACGACACTAGATCATTATCACATGAGAGTATCTTATGACGTGCTTTATGCTGCAATCATCGTGGCACATGAGTGAAGTTGTAGGGGGTGGTAAGTTGGTGTCAATAAAAAATAAGCTGAAAATTTTAAGACAAGTAAATAGAGTCATTGAAAGAGAAGGCTTAAAATATTTTCAGTTCATGGTTATACTAACTGGAATTTGGAAAGTTGTTAAATATATACACACGACCTTTAAAGAGGTTAGCCATGAATTTACAGCTATGTAATCTTGTTGTTACATATCTAATGTAAGTACTATTCACAATGATTTCTTGTACTAACCGTGGTGATAAGTACTTTAATCTTTAATATATTTATAAGATTATAAGAACAAGTCCCCTTTTATAACGAAAAAAATTTTGTTGGTGTTGAGATTCAAACCATGTAAATTTTCATCTATCACAATGGTTGTTATTATGGCTCATGATGAAATATCTTTTAATAAAATAAAATAAAAAATTCAGGCGCGTAAAAATGAGTTATTACTATAGTTGATTAAACAACCATAGTAATATGATGTTACCAAAAATATATTTTGTAGTATTTGTTCTAAAACTTTAGTAAAGGAAATGTTCCCATGCAACTTTGTAAGCATTTCCATAAACTTCCTAATTTTTTCCTCATTTGCATCTTTCTTTTTTAATTGAGAATATGAGATTTAGATAATATGAAATTTCTCCCTCTTTACTTTCTTCTTTAACACTCACTATTTTCTCTGCACTTTTTTTTCTTCTCATGACATTTCTCATTTTTTCACGCTTTTCATTTTCAACTTTATCCTCACTCTCATCATCATTTTAAACTCTATTTTTTGTAATCTTTTTTAGGTGTTTTTATCCTACTTTGTGTGAAACTTGCATTTGAAAGGATTTGATTGCTTCTTAACTCAATCACTTTGCTACTCTCGTTCTTAGGGTTAACGATAACAACTCTAACAATTCCTTCATTGGATTGAACGAATATATGTCTTGAAAGTTGTGTCATATGAGTTTCCAATTTTATAATGGAGGATTTGATATTCTTACTAGGCATTTTATATTACCTAGATGATCTCTAAATTTCTACGAGTCACCTTTATAAATTGAGTGAGATTTTCATCTAACACATGTGGTTTTTTTAGGCTATTGATTATGATAGTATGATCTTGAGGGTATTGATTTTGTTGTGCTTTTTGATTTGATGTTTGACTTTGATTATTGCTCCACCTAAAATTTTGATGATATTTTTACCCTGAATTATAAGTGTTAGAGTACAGATTTCCTCTTTGAAAATTTCCCCGTCCAGTCGGTTTTTTTCTCTTCGTTTGCATCTAAGTGTTGGAGTACGATCTTCAGGAACACATTGACCATTTGCATCTACCTCTCCATAAAAATTACATTGGAGAACTTGAGCTTGTTTCACCCGTTGGTTTATTCTATTGGATATTTCAAGTTGTTTTGTCAAGGCTTTTAGTTTGATGCTCATTTGCTAATGAATGACTTATAATGCACTTTGAGTTTAAAGTGTTAAAACTCTTCTTCATGTACCTCTGTCGGTTAGTGCTTGATACTCGTTTTGCACCATGTACTATATAAGTTATTTATCTTATGTTTCATTTTTGTTCATCTCAAGTCCTCTAGCTAATTCATCAAAAAGAATTTGAATTTCCTCTTAAATGTTGAGTAAAGTACTCTACCTGAACCATATCCTCCATGCCATGTACCAAACATATTTTCAATATTAATTTGAACCTTTCCCACACATCATAGACAGATTCGATATCAACTTGTTCAAAGTCGATGATGT